CAATCACCACCATTTTCTCTCCAGTACGAGCTTTCGTCATCCTAGACGACATTATGTCACCTGGCGTCATCCATCGTCAACCCAGCGCTGATCACAAATTGATCACATAGCCATAAGTCGCAAGTGGCGCGGTAGCGTATGCTATTGCCGACCAGCTTGTTCAACTTGTTTTGATACCGATCATGCACTGGTGTGTGTGATAATTGCTATGCCTTTCGGCTGTTCAACCAAACCCAACTGAACACTCACAAGTTGGAGGATCCAACGGTGAAAACGCAATATCAACTGAGGTTTCGCGAAAATCTCGCTCTACCCCATGCTCTGGATGTTGAGCAACACTGGTCAAATTTGCGAAAAGCAATGCTGTCCGCCGGCCTGCTCAGCTGCACAACCAGAAGCTGGATTTCGTTAAGATCCTTGGAACTGCTAGATCGTCGACGGGCCGTTTCCGCCAGTGCGGAGCACAACAAACTTCGTCGGTCTATCTCTCAAAAGCTGAAATCAAGTCTTCGCTTAGACCGCAAATCCTGGTGGTCAAAAGGATCTGCTGAGATGGAGGACGCTGCATTGGCTGGAAACTTTCGCAGTTTGTGTTATTTCGTCAAGGCCACTGGTTGTAATTCACACGCTGTCAGTTAGACGGCACGAAAATCACCAGGTTGCACAGGCGCTTGAGCCGCTGGGCAGAGCACTTTGCTTTCCAATGTAACTGCTCATCACAGCCCACAGTGACACCGTTTCTCCCGGATGGCGCTTGGCTTATCGCCACAGATGCTCCTCCCGAAACAGATCCGAAGCGCAAGCCAATCTTTGAAGTGTCATAAATCTTCCGATCCTGACAGCCTACCCGCGTTCTATTCAAAGATGGAAGGAATGCACTTGTCAACGAAATGCTATCACTCTTCATGAGAATTTGGACTGACGAGAAAGTCCCAGTTGTATGGGAAGTATCGGTCATTATCTCGAGCCAATTACCGCTGAATTTCGTTTATCTCAACTGCCTACAAGGTTTTCGTGTCTGTTCTTATCCCTAGACTCTCAGCGACTAGAGAAGGCGTTTAACAAGAGTAACAACCGTGTTTCCATCCAGGTCGAGACTACATTGATAACATCTTCACACTCCGCCAACTGATTGAAGTGCGTCACGTCCACCGACGGCCAACAATCGTAGTTTTCTTGGATATCCGAGCGGGCTTTCGATTCAGTAGATGGATCCGCGTTGTGTTACTATGTACTATGGAAAGGTGTGCCCGACAAGTCTGTACCCATCTTGAAAGATCTCTACAGTCACACGTAGGGAAAAGTCAGGGTTTACGGCACGGTTTCCCCTTTGTTTGCTGTCACCAGCGGCGTGCGCCAAGGTTGCCCCATCTCAACTTTCCTCTTCACTTTTGCCACTGAAGGCGTAGTCCGACGAGCAATGAAAGGTCTTCAAAACTGCGGTATTGAGCTTCTCCCAGTTGACTGAGTCGCGGAGTTGGACTACGCCGATGATATCGCATTGTCCAAGGACAATCCACCAGCCGTGCAAAACGCTCAGAATCGCTTAGCTGGAGGCATCTAAGTATGACCTGTGCTTCACGCTAGGCAAATGTAAAGTACTACTCCAGGATTGGCAGATGTTTGTGTCTACCCTCACCATTGCTGTTAACGTCCTGGAACAAATTCACTGCCTCACTTATCTAAGGAGCTGCATCACAGCAGGCGGCTGTATTGGAGATGAGGTCCCACAACGGATCGCAAAGGCTAGCCTTGCATTGATCAGACTGAGACAGTAATAACAACTGCGTAGCACCCATCAGCGAACGGGTTAGTCGAACGTTTCCGTCGCCACCTCAAAACATCTCTGATGGCATGTTTTGACCCAACCCGTTGGACCGAAACTCTATCACTTGTTCGACTGGGTCTTCGAACGACACGTAAACCTGATTTAGGCTGCTTGCAGAGGAGCTGGTATACGGTACCACAGCTGATCGCCTTCAACCAATAGAAGCCAATGCTCTAGATCCTTCAAACTTTGTCCATCGCTTAGGTTCATTTATGCGTGGACTGCATTTTACTGCCACACGTGCACAAACGAACAAGGGTTACATATCAAAAGATCTGACAACTTGTTCATATGCGTGGTTACGAAATGATGCAGTCCGTAAGCCACTAAAGCCACCGTACGAAGGGCCATTTGAAGTGATCTCTAGAGCGGAATAACACTTGAAGATCAACAGGGATGGTAAAGTCAGTGGTTTCCGTAGACCGTCTTAAATCAGCGTATATCGAACAACCTTGCGGAAATCAATCAACGGGTCCTCAAAATACACTAGGTATGCAGCAGTCATCAAAACTCGTTGAAAACGACCCATAGATGTTAAGATCTAAAGTTAAGTCACAAGACATTAATAGGTGGCAGACACGGTCAGGAAGGAGACCGTCTAATCTATTATGCATCTAAACAATACCATCTCGTTGTGCTGATCACTTGGCTGTACTGCTTGCTGCCAATTTTCCTCCGCTTATTGTTCTCCAGATTTGCAAGGATGCGAGAAACATCTCTAGGAAGACTAAGAGGAAGAACTGGAAGTGCTGCCTAATAACAACAAGACTATTACTGCATTCACCATCATTACATTGCTCCCAAATTTGTCATTGTACCTTACAGAACTTCAGCCTGCATGCCTCAGCCACGGGCATTTCTTGCGCCACTGGTACCAGGTGGAGGTCACCTTTTATAGGCTATCTTCACCGGGTCTTTTACTCCTGGTCGACAGAACATCGTGCGGCTAACGCATTGGTGGTGAGGTGTGTAGGATACCTTTTTACATTTCGCCACATAAGCTTTGCTAGAACATTACCAGCTATACTGACCATCATTTAAAAGCTCCATGCAACATATCAACAATCATCGAATTTTAAACAGTCTACCATCGGTGCAACATCTCTACTAGGCTTCCTCTTGTGGGAGCATTGAAATACAACAATGAGAATACATGCTTTCACTTCTTTCCAGCATACGAGAACGACGGGGCATTAATGCCAAAATCCGCACCTAAGAAGAGCTCCTATATATCTAAGGGCTCACAGCGTCGATGCAGACGTTCGCCGAAACGAACCCGCAGGTCGACACATAAAAATGCGTCGTCGGAGTACATGATCGTGCTCCAAATCCAGCGACAAGTTTGAACGCAACTTCTCCAGCGGTAACTGGTCGCGATGTGGTCGATGTGCGCCCATAGCCGGTCCGAGGCTAATGGGCGCCATGTCACCCTTCTGCTGTGTTTAAAGTTAGTGTACGCAAAAATAGAGCATTTGTACACAAGTGTAGCAAGCGCTCACCATTATCGTTACGGGCTGCTAATCCATGCTAGCCGCCCAGATGCAGCTCACTGCCGGAAAGTTCTCCCACTTAAGAGCTCAGATCACCAGCAAGCGTTCCAGGATCAGTACTTGATCTGCTACGAGTAAGCTCTTTCAGTTGGTGATAGAAGTCATCTTTCACCGAGTTAGTGATACGATTTGTTTGTGTGGGGGGGCATAACCCGCAGTAACAAACAAACACCGCTTGTCCTCGTGCGACTTCGGAGGTTTGAACCAGCCAGCCAATCTAACGGTGTGCATCTGGCTGTTCACTGGGATCCATCGATCACGTAAGCATCAGCCCAAAGAGCTCAAAGCAATGTCCACACAGACTTGACCATCATTTGAGGCTGCATCATCCACGAACAAACGCAATGAAACAGTGCCGCCACTGTCGCATGTGAGGAAGGGCACGGTAAGCACAGAGCTCAAATCTTGCAGGTGGGTATTCGATAAACAGGTGACATCGATCTATACGTACTCTAGTGTTTGGGCAAGTGCTAGCAGTTGACCAGCTGTTACAGTGTGTACGCTGAGGCATGTAGGTCTTAGCGAGAATCGAGGGCTCCAAATAGGAATGGATAAATTGATGCTGTCCGTTTGGTTGAACATGAACTTGTGGACTTGACCGTAGCGAAGACCTGTGATTGTGTGATCTGAAATTAGTGGACAAACGGCTATTGAAAAAATGGTGGAGAGTCAATAACTGAGGGCTGAAAACAGAGGAGATAATAGTGAAGTTGGAACAGGACGATAAAAAGCAAAAAAGCGAGAGAGGGATAAGAAGATAGGAAAGTCTGAACAATAGCACCCTTACTGATATTCATCCTCCTCGATGCAGCAGAAAGGGCGACAGTCAGATTATCAAGAAATTGTCTGACAACATTGGACCTTAACGTGATGCGATGGTTTGTGCACCTTGGTGATGGGTGTTGCATTTTGCACCTTCGGAAGCACTCATACCAGATTCTTCAATGGCTAAAGACCAGAAAAATACAGTCTTCTGGCGTTCAAGATTGAGGGCGACCACTCGCTAGATAGATTGAATCCGCTGTAGTGCATTGCCAAAACTCTGCCGTTTCGCGGTCAGGTTATTGAACCAAAGGTTTTGGTTTAGAAGCCTAATTGTTCTTCTGTCTAGGCATGGGAAATCTGAGAGCATCCCACCCACGAAATACAAGAACCGGCCGGATAGCAGACGAGAGAATCCAACGACATAGATCTATCAGGTCTATCAACTAATACAGTTTATCCGAATAGCTGATCTTTGGGTGAACGGATCAGACTTTGGTCAGCCAGTCTGATTTAAAAATCTTGACTAGAACGGAAGGAGTAATGGACCAAGTACATTGGAAGGGACGTGCACCATCAAATCGCTTTTGCAATTATGGTGTCAGTGATCGGAGAGACACTGTGGAAATTGACATCGACTATCGCAGTTCAAAAACGCAGTTGGGAAACCCATTCGTAAATTAGCGTTACAAGCACTTGTGTGAGTGGTGTTTAAGCCAGAGCACGAGAACGCCATAGAACATGGACGTTGAATAGGGCTAGCAGAATGGCTAAATTTGACGAATGCAATGGGATGATGACAAAATTAAAAATGCGTTCAAAGTTGCTAATCAATAAAGAATAAGTCACAGATGACTAACCTGGGCCAATGGCGAAACCGCACACAAACAAATAAATGAACACGATTGCCATGTAGATGGGCCAATTGACGTTGCCCAATTTACGTCCAATAATGCAAGCACTGAAGACTAGAAGGCAGATGCACGCATCGGCAAACCCGCCTATCAACAAAACTCTTCTCCCAAGTCGATCGATAATAAAGACAGACACGATGGTCACGGCCACCAAAGTGCATCCGATGCCAATGTTAACATACGCGGCTTGAGCATTTGATAGTCCGAGAGAAGTTAAAAGTTTCACCGAATAGTAGAAGAGCTTTAAACAGAAGGGAAAAAGGCGAACGACTACAGCTATAGTTATGAAGTGATCTGTTATCCAAAGCTAAAATGTATTTGCAGGTGTCTGGTTCGCCTACTCAAGTATGTAGCTATCCGTTACATTGCGGAGCCTACAGTTGAGTAGGTAGTTATGAGAGTAGAGCAAACTCGGTAAAATATAGCGTAGTAAAATGCTGAAAACTGTTAATCCGAAATGCTCTAGGAATTGGAAAACCAATCGCCGATCCAGGGGTAAGAACGATATAAAAATCCTTCATTCGCGCTAGTCAATTTGCCACTGAAGGGGGGCATTGCCAGTTTCCCCATACCTTACGAGCCTTCAAAAGAGAGCTACTCGCTCCCAATAGGCTGTGCTTGTGTTTCCAACGTCTGCGTACAGCCAGATCAATTTTGCGCTCTTTGTTACTGTTCAGTGTCTGCTCTTTATCTTCCGACAGCCCATTCCGATTACACTCAATCGGATCGACCTATCCATCGAGTCATCTTGCACGAAAACATTTCCCACGGACCACGGTTCCAACAATTTTAGCTGCTTTTACAGCTTCTTGTCCAAACCCACGCGTAAAACTTACATCACTTTGCTCACATCACAACTAAAAAATCGAAGAAACCAGAATTCGCCCATGTTCGGTATTTTCCAAGACAGCCGCGGAGCAATTTAGTATACATCGTTCGCCCATTATTCGCATCTAGTTTCGCGCAAGTCGCACTTCTTTTCCAGTTTCGACGGCGAACCGCTCCTACTGATCGATTAGCCGACCAACTCATCCTAACAATCGTGTACCCACGCGTGTATACGACCAAATTGCAACCGACACTAAGCATTATCATTGTGTTGACCCCGGAACTTGCAGTGAAGACCACAATCTGCAAGTGCCCAAAAAATACAGCCAGCATTCCAACATGATGCAACGATGTGCGTGCTCTTCATATAAACGCGGTAGTCCTTAAATAGGGGTAACGTGTTCCTAAGCGCAACAGACCGCATCATCGTAAACGTATAGGAAACTTCGTCCAGGAAATGACGGTGTTATAACGATGTGCCCGCAATCGACCGGTTGGTTCACGCCTGCTGGTAAATCTGCGCCCTTACACCTGCTCTGTTTGACGTCGTGGCAAACCCGACAGGAAGGAAGACAGTAGAAGACTCAGCAGACCAGAGTTGTATTAGCACAGAGAACGCTCATATTTATATGTCGGTTTCACCAACCTCCCAAACATCCCCAGGCGGATTTGCCTGTAAGCCCACGCTCCAAACATGCTTGTCCGCTCCGTCTGTCCAGTTCACCGTTTTGCTCGGGTACGCCAGTCTTCGTCCGCCCACCCGGTGTATGGCAACGCACGTGATGGCTGAAGCTCCATTTCATCAGCTTCCGGTCAGGCCTTGGCAACACGCGTGCTGTCTGATGCGCGATTTCATCAGCTTTCGGCTGGGCCGTGGCAACACGCTCGCAGGGTCTTTGCCAAGCACGATTTCTGGCAAACACGCGAGTGTTGGCACTCAGCTTTCTCGCCCAGCTGTCAGGTGCTTTTGTTTAACATGTCGAGATGTCCCGGTAGTCAACTATTTATGTGCCAATGAGGAAGTGCGATAGGTTGACTGAGACAATCGCGCATTTGAAGAACACTAGGATCGCACGCTGGGAAGTAATTACGGCGACGCTCCTACTTCAGCTAGCCAAAGAAGAGAGCCAGAAGCTACAACCGCACTGCAGCGTGTCTGCGTCTTCAAATCATCTGGATCACCTTGCGCCCATAAGCGGAGAAGCATCTACCGTGTCTTCCTACACTCCTTTTAGTGGTGCAGCCTCCAGTAAGTCGATAGAGATGATGGCAGCTCCGAGCAAGAGTTGGTCCACCATAGAGAAAGGCTGCGTGTCGTACACATCGGTTGCCTTTATGTAAACACCGGAGAAAACACCCCGACTCCGGTAGCAGCACAGGCCAACATTGGAGTGACCGTTTCAAAAACCAATCAAATCGTTAAAAACGGCATCCCACAATGTTCTCGAAGCTGAGGCCAAACGAACGAATTACAGCGCTTTAACTGTTGTGTGTACAAATTTTTTTAGAATCGCAGTTTAGTGCCATAAAGAGGAGGCTGATAAACTACCAAAACCACTGGAAGTCCATTTGTGGTGCGATTGGTATTTTGGTTGGGCTTATGACGCTGAGATGGGACACATATCAACCAAATTCAGTGCATTATGACGAAGCTCGACATCTAAGGAAGGCAATGAGTTCTGCTGACGGCATAGAACCTGTTCTACTGCCGTCGATTCAGTTCCGTAACTCATCACATGAGGTGCGCATACTTCAGGACATCACTTAGAACGAATGTCTGTGAGAACAGCAACCGTGAGGAAGTTAGGAAATTCAATGAAAATGGACGATTGTGTTTACGGAGTTACAGAGTTTCAAACTTCCTCCTCTGAAGGAGCGAAAGCACACGACCGGGAGCAACAGAATAAAAACCGCCAAGGACTATCCCATGACATTATCGTTGCTAAGTGGTGGATAACAATTTCAGTTTCGCAACAACGGAAAAGGTTCCAGGCTAAGGAAGGTGATGTTTCAGTCAGAGCTGATGACACCGCTTATCTTGGAAAACTAGTCTAGGTTCCGCAAGAGACTGCTAATAGGAATTCGGTTATAGGCAGCGGGTGGATGAAGACTCCTTGTGGACGGCCAAATGGGGAATCTTTCACTCATACAACTCTGGGAACGGATTGATCCAGTGGAAACCTCAGCATCCGAGGGAATACTAAATACGGGAGACTATGATGGCACGCACAGTCATTGTATAACCCAACCAAATCAAAATTGCTAACGGCTCCTCAGTTAGTGACCGACGCTTCAACGGTCAGTACAATCCGCGTTAATAGTTCAACATTCACTAACTTATCTTTAGTTACCATGAAACTATCATACTTGTACACCAACGCATAAGGCCCTATTGGTAAGCTGATCGAACTCCGTCATCGTTAGACATCAGAGCCTCGAAACACCGAAACATGGATAGGCTGCGCGATTACCGAAGTAGAGATCACTTCTTCGGAAGGAAAGAAAGGGTAGGGAGGGGGTCGTTCACTTATTAGAAAACATAATTTAGCTGTGAATTGATTTTCGTAGAAGGCAGAAGTCACGATTAAACTCCACATGAAAATCTGCCTCGACGGGGAATCGAACCCCGGTCCACGAATTTCCGGTCCGCTGCTCTACCACTGAGCTACCGAGGGCTGACGATTAGGTGCGGAATTTAACACGTGACTTCTGCTTGGTGCGCGACGTATTGCCAATGAGCTCACAGTAACTGTCCTGGTGTTGCAGATCGGCTCATTCACTCGTCACTTCCCAGTGGACCGAAGTAACTGTCCATCCGAAGTCCAAAGGGCGAACTGACGATTTCAAAACGCGTCACTGATCTGTTTTGGTGCAAGCTACGGTTGAAGGACGATGGTATATGCCTTGTGTCCGTAGTTTACTGACCGCTCAAAACCACCCCAGAAATGAACCACAGACGAATACTGGTTTTGCGTATTGTGATAAATGAGAAATACAGCTATATCCTCATTACAGCAGATTTCAACATTCATAATCAGGAAACTCCACTAACTGACAGTGAAGAGTGTAAAGCCTATCAGCAAATAACCTCTAGTACACCCTAATACAATTACATCAACCCTCCCACCAGATTCAGAACAGAGAATAAGCCTAGTGCTCATCAGCGAAGAGCTTATGCATGATGGGCTGGATCTGTGTAGTCCTTTGGGTCGAGACAATCATGTGACTCTACAGTCCGATTACATTTGTTACGCCGAATATCCTAATACCAAGCTAGAAACAATGCAATCTATTACGCATTATTACGTATTGTCTGCATTAATCGAAAGCGCTAGTTGGACAGTCATAACTGAGTGCAACTAATAGATAGCATGAGAAACATTTCTAATAACCATGTCATTAGTCACAAAAGCATCAGAGCCGAAAGCTTTCTGTAGTCCCTTAAGCCAAAACCCATTTTTGGGACGCCGAATACAAAAATATCTGACCCTAAGGAATCGGGTATGACACGTACACGAGAACAATTCCAACTCAGAAACCTGGACAGCGTACGTAGCTCAACGCAACTACCATGTGCAGTTGCTTCGTGACAACTTAACATACCAACAGGAGCTGGCAAAACGATTCCGTTCTAACCACAAGCTTGTTTACAATCATGGGAAAGTGCACTGCAGAATCCCACCACTCACTACGGTTGGTGGGTACACACATACCGAGATAGGCGGCAAATATCTTACGACCGGAGTACCCACCTACTTTCTAAGGGGTACAGGACCCCGTTCAGTAGCCGGATGCGCGCCGTCAAATCATTTGACTTGCTCAAAGCTTCGAAATCGGACGAGGCCAGCATATACCTGCTTCGTATTGCCGTCTGCGCTCCCGCATCCTCTACGTAAAATGACTTATGTCGTCCACTGAAGGAGCTCTTTCGTCACGGACAATGAAGTGAGCTGAACATATAAATTGTAAAATTGTCCATGGCACATACACCCGAGCGGTTGACTGAATAAAATATGCTATCAGGTAACCTGAATGCTAGGTAGCCTAGGAGACGAATTTTGGTAATAGCTCTTTATCATACTACCTGTGAATCTATTACCTGCAGTTGTATTATTCTTTTTTACTGCGCCGTCTATTATACCACCGGGTTCGACTCTTACTAAATACACCCTTAACTTATTTCGTGCTGCGGACCTAACAACAACGTAAATGCCAAATAGAGGACAGGTCGACATTATCACACCAGGAATAATGATAAGTACAAAAAGTACTTGGGCTGTAATCGGGGCGGTTTCGGTTCGCCAAGTCATAAATGACCATGTAGAGGAATATCAAAGCAAGTTCCAGGCAGAAACCTCACTCCATTCAATGCTCAAAGCCTACTGCGATTTCGTCTGTCAAAGTGTACTTAATGAAGCGCCATAATAGAGCTTATGCTTACCCCGTTGATTCCGGACAACTGCTGTCCCATCTGTGCGAGTATAGCAATGCACAATGCACGACGGAGGTGTTGAACCTTAAGCAAAGAGAACACCGAAACCTTGTTTAACGAGTAGGGTAGATAGAGAAAGCGTGATTGTTACTTTGGCTGCTTGAGTCTCCGCCTCCAGAGCCAATTGGTCCATTTCAGACTGAACGTCCGCCAGCGACCCGCGTAACTTCCGAAGTGCTAAAGCGCTGGTTAACCGAAGCGGTGATGTTACCTTCCCTGGCAGCCATGATGTCGCGTTTCATTAGGTAAAGATAACGGGGACTCTCGGGACACCAGAACAAAATGACCATACCGATAACACATGGAATTATGTTCAATCCTAATGAGAGTTGGATACACGCAAAATACTCAACATACCAAGAAGGTATGGCCACAACTGCTTTGTCCCCATGAGTTCAGAAAGGCCGAGAATTTGGGAAATCAGTATTGAACTAACAATAACTAGTTGGTTGAGAACACCCGAAGCACCTCTGACAGAAGTAGGCGAAATTTCAGACATGTACATTGGACCAATTCCGGTATAAGATCCTTGTGGAAACGTTATAGATAATTGTAATAATGTACCGCAAGCGAGGCCGATGAGTAGTCTTCCAACGATGATGAGTTCGAAGGAGTTGGATACCAGGGATATCATTAACAGGATACTTCCCAGAATGCAAGGTAGGGAAAGAATGATGACGGATTTCTTTCTAATTGAGCATAAAAGATGAACAACGAGGTTACACCACGTACCGACCAAGTTTGTTGGCAAATACACCACTTAAAAGTGCTCCTAAAATGCCGCTGATAAGGAAGGACGCAACACAAAATGAAGTCAATGTGGTGACATAGGCCTTCTCGGGCGTCCCATACCGGGAATCGGTCACGTTCGAGATGAAATCTGAAATAAGCTAAACAGCTCCATGAAAAATGAGAACAATACCTCAAGTGGGGCGTTTATCACCCCGGTATGGTAGCCAAATTGAAAGGAGGTGCAAATGGAAATTGCGAATAGAATAAGTCCCAACTTTCTGGACATCCTGAGAAGAGCTGAAAGAAAATAGAGATCATCATTAAAAATAAAACTATTATTAAAAGCCCAAAATGCCGCTGTAGTCGACAGATGGAAGGAGCACATTGAAATGTGTTCAAACCGAGCGGTAGCTTCGGAGTTTTGGACTACGGGCATCTAAAGTGGATGATTTTCGCCAAGTCGTTCGACTGCAAACGGTCGGTTGTTGTGTGATATCAACCGTTCACATCAGTGAATCTCTTCCGTCGGTAAGTTTGGCAGCATTGGAACTGAGACTATGGTATCGAGTTGGATGCGTTCTTAGCACCCTTGCCGACAACATGCGCTTTCTGGTGGGATCTGCAAATTCTACACCTGGTGGAGCAGCAAACTGAGACTTGATAATGTGACACAGAAATGAGAAGGACTGTTTGGCTCAGATGAGTTGGGGCCATCCACCTTTCTATGTCAAAGCTACAAGATAGGCTAAATAAGTGATAAGAAAATCGAAACATGTGATGAGGATGATGACACAAATCGCTGGATTCCGGCTTACATTCAAGGAAGGCGTTCTACAACATGTGAATCGGTTAATCAACCACAATCGGTAAATAGAAGCGCGATGGATCCAGCTGAAAACGTATCACAATAAGAACACTAACAATAATAATGGCAATAATGGACTACAGCAAAACGAATCCGATAGCCAACCGGGTGTTATAGTGGGGAAACAATACGGTTGAAGAAGTTATTGGCGATTACACAAACAAAATAAATTAGGTAATGGAAACAGTTAACATTTAGAGTAAAATCCAGTGTCGTGAGAAAAAACGCATTGCTGGGTACCAATCATATTCATTTATCCCAGACACGAACCACACTGAGTAGACATCGGTGGTCAAAGATAATCGGCCTTTTAAATCCGGCAGCGGCCATCTCTCTTATCTGAAGTGTAACCTTGACCGCCATATGGCGTTACGATCCTTACACTAATTTAATTACACAATGTCTCCAGAAGTGACCGCAGCTTTGCAAGCCACATGGGCTGTACTGGTGAACGCAAAAATCTGTTCTTTTGCAGTGTTTCAGCTACTTTAGATCTCCATTTCTCCCCATTCAACTGTTATTCAGTGGTGCACTCAGCAGCAGATAGGCCCACTGCAATCAGGAGCTTAAAAACTCGCTAATGTGACGCTAAAATGTACCCGCTGAGACCATGGCAATCAGGCTGTAGGAGCTAGAACTGTAATTTCAGAAAGGACTCACACTGTAGGCCTTCCTTGGCTCAATCGAACTGTCAAGTTTGACTCACGGAATTGTGTATACATCGCAACTGCGGTTTAACGGACAGTGACCACTAAAAAATGAGCGTGTTGTATTGATTCCCATGTTTTGTTTGTCATTGACAATACTAAAGAATGACTGAAAAAGGTATCCAACTGCACTTCCCAAGGGACTTGTTATTACTGTGAAGCGAACTCATGTATGAGCAGACAGACTCACATCCATAAAGGAGAATAAAGTACACATTTGACAAATATCCTATCTGAATTCTGTGCTACGTTACGCGAATTAAGTAGAAGCCGATTCGAATGGAAGGGAATGTTCTTCGCCAATGGGAAATAACTGATACACTGAGAAGGTACGCGAAACGATAGATCGGGCAATTCGAAATGGCGGCATAAGAATGTGAGGGATGGAAAGTACTTTGTGCAGCAAGTTTGAACCCTCCGGTAATTCAAAGGCCGACGTGCTAATTGAAATGTTTATTTTAAGTTAGACTGAGTGCAGTGGAAACATAAGTCGGATTTGCAATAGCTCAAATAACTATCGGGCTGTAATGAACCCAAATAAAGCGTTTTCAGTCGAATTAAAAACTAACGCCAAGGAGAATCCACTGTTTCGGAAGTGGGATACATCAAAAAGCTCACACGAGCATTATATCAAACATAGACCGGGTTATGTGCAAAGCAAGGATTGCGCTACCCTACCGTACCTTATTACTTGGCAGAATTGTAGTATCATTCTGCTATGCTATCATGTACACATGTATATTTGTTGCACAAGTACTGGTAAAAGATTACAGACCACTGTATTTATCTCAACATTTAAAAGTACGATCATCAGACTATTGATACGCTTACTTTAAACACTATCCACTAAAGTCTATCAGTAACAGCGCAATTCTCTCCCGTATTTTGTTATTAATTTGTAGTCAGCAAGCGATTCCCCCGTTTGACTGGGAAATTCTTCTAGAAAATTATAAAATTATAGTATTTTAGGTATTAGGGAAGTGGGTGATTTGGTTGTTTTGGTGTTACTCACGTTTATTTGAGTCACACACACACGCAGCCGCTGCACCCGCTTGGACGTGATAGGCCATTTTCGCACTCAGCACCCGTTTACATGTTCCCTAACTAACTCTTATGACGCTTTACTCTTTAGCCTTAGCTAACCTTTCTAGCCTGTTTTGTGTGTTCTGCCAGTCGTCCCAGGTCAGCCGTGTGTCCGGATATCTGATATACAGCGTCCGATCGACGCACTATAAATATGCAGGGACTTCAAAATACATCAACGGAAATGCGAAACTTTATTTGCTTGCGGCACCCCACAACGGCGAAGCATTACTTATGAATCCAGCATTTACAAAACTCCTACAGATGTACTTATGCTTAAAAAAATTGGCGTTCAGAAAAGAGCACTGCAGTTACAATGAGTACATTAACGATCGTTTACCCATCTAGGCAAGCCCATCGGCACATTGCACAAAAATGTGAAAACGAGACCCAAAGTTGAAATGAGGTAAAGTTCATAGTATACATAGCTTCGCGGCAGAAACACGCATTTGCAGTGAAGGACACCCGAGATGGAATGGAAAGAAGAATAACGGTCGTCGTTTAACGGAATTTCGACGATAAGAGAAAAATATTGACAGAGATGTGTGCAAAAACGTCGATAATAGTTCAGACGACTTGTACAGTTGTGATTCTAATCTGGTAGCATCGTTGTTAGTAGAGAGTATACGCACCATTTCAAAGTATTCTAGAGCGAGGAAACGGTAGAACTTTACTTAAAAATTTGGTTGAATAACCTAAAAAGTGAACTACCGTACGGATACAAAGCACACATACGGTACAGACAGGTGAAGAATGCAAGAAATCCAAATCAAGTATACGGGGTATCCTCAGTGACTTTCCCCGCCTGTCTGTCATCGATACTTACAAAATAGCGGACTCAGATAGGGAGAAACGCAAGCAGAAAACCATTTCAGGCGACTACAGTGCTTCACCACTAAACACATCTTGTGCAGTAGAGCGCAGAGCCAAAAGTCGAAATGTCACAACAAATGGGGGAAGTGAGGCACAAAAAAGCCAAAGTTAAGTCAAGTAAAATCTTAGTGCACCATGAGCGGGTGAATATTCAGCTACAACACATGTATCCTATCAGCAATGTCCCAAGAGTCAAATCAATTACGAAACAGTACCATATAAAGCAGTTTGATAAAGAATGAACAGAAACGAGATCATATGGCAATTCGGTTGAATAGGTCTAAAAAGCCTTACGAAGAGGATGAGGTATGGGCCAGTTTCTTACAAGGACTGAAAAGTGTAGACAGCAGTATCCTGGCAAAACTAGGTATCGGAGCGCCGCTACATCGGGACAAATAACTTAATGACCAGACAAATAACCGGAAGAGTTTGCTTATAAGACCTGGAAAAATCACAGGAGAGCAGTACATTCAGTGGGAAGCGGCATATGCACTGACAAAGTGAAGGATCAAATTACAAGGGATAGAAAAAGCTCTCCGCCGAGGTGTAGAACGACAACCTTCCAATTTTCGTAAATGTTTCATTTACACGAAGTCAAAAATAAATCGTAGTTATGCGCTACCGATGTAAAAGAGTAAATCCATCAACGTCAATGGGTGGCTTGAGGCACTGTGCAAACAGCTGTTCGTACCTCGCTCCTCTGTGTAGCGAAAACAGAACATCATGACACCTTGATGCATTAAGAGGTAGATTGCGACCTTCGGACCAAACATTGAGATCGTTCAGAAGATCTTGCAACATCGGAGGATGCCAGTATACCTTAGTATGGTCGCTTCTACAGGGGCTGGTATTGAGCCCACATAAGTTGAAAAGAGATAAGACGACAGGATCGCTACCTGAAGAACGTCGGAATAGTTGATTGAGAGGAGCATCTGCCACAGAGTCGGGTAATTTGAGTAGGTCCAATAGAAACATTCAACAAATGGGTGATGGAAGAATGTATTCCTTAAGTGAGAAAAGCTTTAAGCAGCAATTCGCAGTTTGTACAGCCGAGGGCGTGGTTATAATCGATATAACGCATTCGGGTGGTTTTTCCATTGACAAGCAAAGCCAGTAAAGAATGTACGAGGCAGACCACTGCATATAGGGTAAACCTGAAACTATGACTGACGAACTGAACAGGGGCATCATAGAACACTTGCATAAACAACATTTCATGAATGATTTGCTGGCACTTACAAACAGGATCACGATATTTTCTGGATCATTTGCCGACACCGGTGTACTACTGACACTTCGCCCGCAGTCAGCGACTGTGTTGCTGCATACTCACTATGTATACAGATACAAGAGACGTTGACAAAAATTCAGTATGACAGGAAACAGTTTGTCCAGACTGCTAGCTCTACCGAAACGTAGGTGTCGCAGTAAACTAATCACCGTTACATTGCCGACAGGAGATAATGAGTCTAGACGTCAGAACCTGGATAAAGACTCTGAATCTATATTAGTGTCGCAGTTACCGAACTCCTGGTTCAATGCCTTGTACATGTACATCAAAATAGGACGCATGTCCAGTAACTCCGCTAATATGTTTAAACCTTCTCCAGAGTGCGCGACAGCTAGCGTCCCCAAGTAAAGACCGAATATACACTTGGATAAGAAGGGCGTAGCTACTCCTTACTAAGGACAGTGAGACACTTTACTGAGGTGTCGTTTTTTGGTTAATCGCTTCCTCCGTAAATCGGCGCAACCGCTTCAGGTAGGGG